ATGATTGTTTGAATATGAATAACAGTTCGTTTCTTTCATGAAATACGATAAAACTATTTTCGACTGAAGAATGAATCAATCATCAAATCATATTAAATTCGTAAACATGAATAGGTTCGTTACCGATATTGTGCTTCGCATCGATACACACTTTCATTCATAATGCAGCAAATCTCATTTCAAGTCAATATCGAAGATATTCAGTAATATATATGATTTACATTAAATATTATTTAACTGCAAAAGCATTATTAAAATTTATTGATACATTTCTTGTATAAAAAAAAAAGAAAAACCCCATTCATTACAGCGAAATCCTGAGTACTACCAAAAAATTTTGCATACAAAATCTGAAATACTGATTCGAAGAAATTGATACAAATATTTTATATATTTGTTCGGACGGATAAATTTATCGAACTGAATAAAATGATCTGACGTTGAGTCTTGTTTTCAAAATCTCATAAACGTAATCATGTAGATTGTCGTGTTGATGGTCGAGTACTTGAGCCATTACCACCATCGGTGAAACTACAATGAAAATTTTTCAAAAAAGAAAAGGCAAATCTATGAAAAAAATTAAAGCAAATTTACTAATCAGTAACATCAGTAATTGAGAATCCTAAATCATTTTTTTCACTATCTTGTCGATCTCGTTCAGGCATTGTTGGTTCCATTGTCGGTGGTGATGATGATGAGGGAGTTGATGATTGACTTAATTCTTTTGATGCATCTTGACTTGTTGTTGATGATGATTTCATAGTAGGACCTGATTTTTGTTGCATTTGTTCTAATGATGATTGTTGCATACTATTTCTATCTATAGTTGCACTATCAATATCAACCTTATTAAGAAGAGAAAAATGTGAAAGTGTGCCCGTATTAAGTAATTGAGGTGATGGTGGAAGAATACGACCATTTGATGATGATTCTTTTCGTGGTGATATTGGAGATTTAGGTGGTGTAGTCGTTTGAATTTCATATGCAGCACGACGAGCTCGAGAAAATTCAGCATACAATCGATGAGAGCGTGTAGTACCATAAGAAAGTGGTGGTTTTTGTACGACTATATTCTTATACGTAATGATCGGCTATTGAAAAGAAAAAAAAAACAAAGAAACGATTGAAAACAAAACAGAAATCAAAGATGAAATACTTGAACAGATGTTGGTTTCGATGGAAGACGTGGAGTAGGAACAGTTTCTTCAATTGTTGTCATTTGTTTAACTAACGCAACTTCTCGTTCAAGTCGTTTATTAAATTTTGGTTTGGAAAGACGATCAACTAGATTTCGTACATCAGTTTTTGTAACTACCATTTGTCTTGTGTCTGGAGATGGTGGATAAAGTTTACGAATATTTTTAATATTTCTTGTTACAATAACAGATTTTGTTCGAACAGAACGAATATTTGTTGCTGATTTAGGTCGTGTTGGAATTTGTTTCAAGTTTTTTTGACCTTTTCGTTCATCTGAATGTGATCGTTCAGAAAAATGAGCATCTCTCATTGGTATGGGTAGATTTTGTTGATGTTCTTGTAAGGCTAAAGCTTCTTCAACTAATGCGCGAAGAAGTGGAAAATTGTGTAGAAAATCTCTTGTCAATAATTGTTTTTTTGGTATTATTTTTGTTTGAGGAATAACTAATGACGATAGCGGTGGTGATGATGATGATAAATTAAAACGAACACTATGTGTAGATTTTAATTTTCGTTGTCGTTGTTTTTTATTATCAATGTCTTCATCTTCATCATCAATATCAATTTCATCATTAAAACTACCAATAGGAATTGATGCTAGATAGGATAAACGATTCTCTTTTGCTTCATCCATATATTTAGCGTTGACTGGTGTCATCATTTGAAGAAAATCAGAATGTGAATTAAAATAAAGTGGTGGTGGTTGATAAGAAGCAATTAATAGATCATCCAGTAATGGATCTTCGATTGTACGTATATATCGACCTTTTGAATGATGATATCCAGTTGAATGTGATTTTGTACTAGTCCAACGTGTTTGAGCCGATTTATTATTATTTGATGATGATGGAAGATCACTACGTGATAATTGTAAACCAACATCTTTCTTTTCATTAACAAAATGAATATGTTTAACAATTGTATCTGTCGGTGGCGGTGATGGTGGTGATAAAGGTGGTGGGCGTGGTGCTAATGGCTCAGTAACTTGTGCTTTAGTCGCCGTGGAAATTCTAGCAAAACAGAAAAAGATAAAACTACATAAGATAACGACAATACAAAGTTTGAGCCAATTTTTTTTTAAGCATATTTCGATAGAGCTTGTCGAGTGACTTACAAGAAATATTGTCTTTGTCATATTCAAACGATAATTTCATAGCGAAACTTAAGAAAGTAAGGTTTAAAAATATCATAAAAAATGACATAGGCCAAAAGCATCAACTCTTGATCGATTTTCTCAAAAATTAAACAATATTTTTTCAAAAGCATGAATTTCATTTTTTCCTTATTATATAACAAATAAAATAAAGAAAAATGAAATTCGGATAAATATTGAGGCTATCAAGATATTATGCTTTTGAAGTATTTCAATTTTTATGATATTTTTAAAAACTAACTTTCCTAAGTTTCACTACAAAGTCATTGTCTGAATATGTCAAAAAAAGAATATTCCTCGAATTTCAAATTACTCGACATCTTATAACAAAATCTTGATAATGCTCACTTTTTATCTGTTTTTGTTACAACAGATCCATCATCAAGCATAGGTAATTGTGTTAAAATAGTTGTACCATAATGACAAAAACGAACAGCAACATCACAAGTACCAATACGTGTTCCCATTAAATTAAAAAGTGTACACTGAAATGTTTGTTGTTCAACAAGTGGTACATCATAACCATTTCTAATAATTGATTGATTTAATATTTCAATTAATTCATTTAATTTAATATTACAACTACCAATAAATTGTGTTGTATTATCATTCATACCTTTATCATTAATTTGATCAATAAGTAAAAGAAAAAGTGGAACATTTAATAAATGTGTATATAATGTTTTAAAATAAGTTTTAAATAAACATGATTTTCCACGTTTAAAATTAAATTTTCCATTAGCTCCACGAAGTTCATAAAATTGATCTGAAAGTAATTGACGCCATGATAAATTTGGATAATCACGTTTTAAATTATGAAATTCATCAATTTGCCATTGATCAAAATACGGTATTAATACAGCTGGATAATCAAGTAAACGAAAAGCTATACATGGCAAATGGCATTCAATATTAAGATCAATATGAACTTGACTTATAAGTACTTCAATTGAAATAAGACTTAGAAGATTTTCATTTTCAGTCATAGTTCCTGGCATCTAAGAAGAAAAATAAATAAAAAACAACAATTATTGATATATATTAGTACATTATAAACAATTAAGCTGGAGTTTATTGCGAGAAAAAAAAACAACGCATACATATTTATTCGTTTTGTGGAAAAATACTTTTTTTTTTCTTTTTCAATATTAATTAAAATAAGGCTTATTAAGTTGAAGAATCGATCATATATACATAGTGGCAAGAATAGATCACTATGAATGATTAGTAGCAATCACTATGAATAATATTTGTTTTCACTGTGATGATTCTGATGTACTAGTCGGAATATCAACATCAACTATAATTAAAAAAAAATAAAAAAAAGAGAGTTTTAAATAATTATTAACAAGAAAAGAAAATTTTAATAGACCTCGTAAGTTTTTTATTGATAATATTGTATCATTGGACGATGATGATTGATTAAGACCACTCAGACTATAAGAAAAAAATAAAAAATATATTAAGAATAATCCTTATTTTATATACAATATGATCAAAGTTATGTTTGAACTTTCTATATTTTATGAATGGAGCAAAAATGACTTATTCATAGAAATTATCGATTGAGAGTAAGGTTTTCAAATATTGTGTAGAGCCTTCAATAAACTATCAATTTATACAAAATAAAATTTCTTTTCATGATTCCTTTACTAACGAAGAAATCTAAAATAGTTGAACGTGGAAAATCGACTTTCAAAATTTTGACTTCAAACTTTTGTAGTATTTCCTATCTTGAGCTATTCAATATTCGAGATTCTCTAATGTATAAAAGAAAAAATTGTTCATATACTCACATTTGCAGTAAAGAAATACTTGATAAGCTAAAACTTACTCAGTGAACTAATCTCATTGAGAGTTTTGTTCTTACAAGATTTGAAGTCAAATCACAACAAGTAGATTTTTCATATGATCTAAAGGATACTACAGCTTTTGGTTGAAAAACGCAATAAAATTTCTATATCTCAAGAACGAAGGCTCGGAAAACTATATCATTCCAGTGTTTTCTATTACTCACTAGTACGCATCAAGTGGATATCGTCTGAATCGAAAAGCGGTTAGACATCTGGAGAGATTCCCTCGTAAGATGTATTAATTGGAAAACGGTGTTTTTTCCAAAAAAAGTTAAACAACTTTTTTTAAAAATTGTATTTGATTATACAGCTTGATTAATCTCGTGTTTATAAGATTAAATCTACTACTACAGATATAATATATTTAATGACAACTTGGATCACTTTTTTTTGACCCATTTACAGTGAGTAGCATGAAAAATGATTTTTCTAAAATGATTTTATTTTCTATGCAAACTCATCAATAACAAGATCTTTATGCTAAAAACTTTATGAGAATAAACAGCTAGTTAAAAAACATTCGATGGTGTTTTTTAAATAGCTTTTTATCAATAAAAGTTAGAAATCTCTTGTTTCTGTTATGAGCTTCCTTCACAACGATATTGATTTTCTAATTACAGAGACACAAGGAGATATCTTCTACTGTCATTAACAATTAGAAAAAAAAACAAACTTCTTCAATTCTAGGAATCTGACTTGCGTATTATTTCAACAGTAAATAATCATTTTCTTGAATATCTTTTAAAAATTTCATGTTCTAATGTACTTCTGCATATAATTAATAAATATAGCAATAGTTATCGAGTAAATTGTTCATACCTTGATGTTTTATTCAGGGAAGAATACGAGTTCGATTGTGATGATAAACCAGTACTTAAACTTGATTTACCACTAGTACCACTACTATATGATTGACTCAATTGTTTACCAGATAGATTAGGCATTGCTGTTGTTGGTGGTCGTGGTGGTGGTTGTGGCGAATGAGTTAATGGTATAGGTGTAGAAAGAGGCTCAGTATCAGGCGTTCTGTAAAAATAAAGAGAAAAACGTTTTTTTAATGTTTTGTTTTCTTTCAGTATTCAATTAAAACCGTCTTCGAGTAAGTATGGTCAAACTGTCTTGTAATGAATTAATACATGATTGAGATATAGAACGAAGTAATAACATATCCTAATATTCAAAAATTAAAAAATCAAAATTCAAATAAATTTAATTTTTTGTTTTTATACTTTAGATAATGGATTGAGATGATTTCTATCTGGTATTGACTAAAACAAAAAATAATAAAACAATTGATGGACGAACATAAATTTAACAAAATACTATACATCTATGGTTTCTACAAATTCTCGTTGATTTACTTCAACACAACGTATGACTTCTGTCATTTCTTTTAAGGTTTGTTGATGATGATGAATTCTATAAATATGAAAAACATAGAAAAGAAAAGAAAACAATCAAATTTCATTGTTTATACTGTGAATCCCGTCGATTTGATGAACGAGTTTGTATCTCATTCGGAGATGATGATGAATTGATTAAGTTAGATTTTGATGATGATAGTGATGACACAAACTTAAGAAATAAGAAGAGAGAATTCATTTTCTCGTTATTTTTTGTCATATAAAACAAAACAACAAATTCTTACAATATCAGCTGCTTTCAATCCAGAACATGCTCGTAATTTATCAATCCATTTTTGTCTATCTTTAGCATCACTTGCTATAGGAATAAAAAACATCTACACATTTATAGAAAATATGTAACTAGAGATTTTGAATATACCTCGAAATTTAAATGAATCACCACCTCCTGTTTGTACAGTAAACGTAACATCATCTTCATTCGATGGTGATATCCAACAATCTGTTAAATCAATTACACCTCTTGGACCTTTCTTTCGAACTTCATCTGGCTACAATTAAATAGTATAATAAAATTTGAAAAAAACAAAACAAAACAATAAACAACAATATACCATAAAATAGAGTAAACTTTTTGTCTCGGAATCTAATACAAAATATCGACTTTGATACCCTTTGAATGCATTTGTATACTTATTCAAGTGTCCTTGGAATCTAATAATTAAAAAAACATATGCTCATGTAACGAGTAATCGAAAAGTAGCTAGACAAAATGTTCATTCATTTTGTTTCAGTCTTATTAAGTCTGTAGAAATTTTAAAACATTAAGCTAGAATCAGAATTTTTGTCATTTTTTCGAATATGAATTCACCATTTTTGTAGAGCTTCTGGTTTACGAATGATGAGTTGATCTTTTTAGAGATCCGTAAATTAAACTTGAACACCTCAAAACTAATCTAAAGCACAATCAAAACTTATTTCAAATATAGCGAATGAAAGAGTAAATATTTCTCAATAAAAAATGATATATTAGTGATTAGTTATCTCTAAGTCATTGATTAATAGCGAGTGTTTTGATAAGGGATACTATCATTTTAGGCAATCTTCTCACCTTCTATGAAAATCAGACTTTCAAAGTGAGCTCGGATATTCCTGAATGATTGTTCTGAAACTCTTGATTCCTATATTACTTCGTAGGAAAACGTTAGTTTTCTTCGTCGAAATCTAATTTACGAGTCTGTAAAAAGTCGACTCGTATCTTCTAAGCTAGAAGTACTACAAAATTTTTAAACTCATATTAGGAAAAAACAAAATTCTGATTCTAACCTAGCGTTTTGAAATTTATGTAGTTTCCTTAAAAAGTCTGAAAAATGAATGAATACTTTATCTAATTAGTTTTCGATCAGTCCTTTTTAATAAATTCTTTGTTTCCATTAAATATATATGTGAACTCACGTCGATTCATCAATTGTATTCCAATTAAAACTAAACATCTACAAAAATGAATCTTAGAAAAATTTCGTTGTCTATCTGATGTATAATAAGTTTCAGTTTATTTTTGAGAAAGAAAAAGAGAAAAAGTAACAACATTATTTGACATTGGGATGGAATACAAAAGAAAAAAAGTGAAAAAGAGAAAAGATAAATTGCGATGAACCATATAATATGTAGTGCCTATCTCTTTAGTTAGAGAACTATATTTTGACAGAAGATAATATAATAAACTGAATGCTAATGAAAATTGTATGCAAGTTGAATATACTCGATGAAATAAAGAGAAAAAGAAAAACTATATAAAAATCACAGAATTAAGAAGATCAATATGAAATAAACATAGAAAAAAAAAAGAAAAAGATTTCCATGTTTTTAGTACTTTTCTTCTAACAAATTGTTATATCATTGAATAAATAAGAAAATAACAAATTAGAAGTGATACGATAAACTAGCCGGTATCATGTTGTTATATATATATATATATGTATAGTCTTTCAACAAATGCATTCCTTTCAGAACATAGACAGACCATAGACAAAAAGAACGAGAAAATTGTGATGAACGTTAGAAAAATATGGCTCTGAGGAAAGCCAAGAAAAAAATATGCACAATAATAGAAAAAAAGAAATTTATGTTTTTTTTTTTTTTTCATTTTAATCAGTATCATTCTTACAAACAGCTTTTATGTTTGGAATAAGTGATGAGAGTGGTTTAGCACGTTTAATAAATGAATGTTGAAGAAGTTCGTATGTATCGGCGCGTTGTTGAGGATCAATGGTAAGACAACGTTTAAGAAAATTCATTGTATCAGATGATATACGTGCTTGTGATTCAGCAGTTATTGTTGGTGGTTCTTCTTGCATTGCTATTTTACACATAGCACGAAATGGTTGTTCATTGATATATGGTGGTGATCCATCAATCATTTCAATCATTAAAATACCCAATGACTAATAACAACAACAACAAAAAAGTGATTATTTCGAAAAAATATGCAAGATTATAAACTAACCCAAACATCAACTTTTCGATCATATTTAAGTCTATGAATAGAAAAATACTTTATTTTAATTCACACATAAATAAATTTTACTTTTTAATCACTTCTGGTGACATCCAATAAGGTGTTCCAACCATTGTTGTTCGTAAACTTTCAGTATTAGCTAGCTGAGCACAAAAACCAAAATCAGTTAATTTAACTATTGAAAATAAAATAGAATATATATATATATTCTTTTTGTAAAGTTTTATTTTCTTTACCTGAACCATCAAATCCAACAAGAACATTGTCTGATTTAACATCACGATGAATTATATTTTTACTATGAAGAAATTGAAGTGCTTCAAGACATTCTTTTGTAACAGCAGCCATTTGACCTTCATCAAGTACTGTTTGTTCGACAATATGTGTTAATTGTCCACCATTCATATATTCCATTACAACTAAATAAATAATTTATATGAATTCAAAATTTAAATTAATAAACTATAAAAAAAAAAAAAAGCATACTCCATAATTCATTTGGTCTTAAATAACAATCAAGAAAATTCACAATAGAGCGAAATCGACAATTTTTCATGACGCGAATTTCACTAACAATTAATTCTTTTCGTGGTTGTTTCGACCAAAGCATTCGTTTTATAGCAATTTTTGTATTTGTTTTGGTATCAAGTGCTAAGTCAACATCTCCAGCAGCGCTATTAATAATAATAAAAGAAACAAAGTTTAATAAAAGTTTTAAAATTATAGAAAATGAATAAGCTTGATTCATACCCTGAACCAAGTTTTTTCTTTATAATGAATCTTGCCATGGGATCATCTTTACCAGCAATGGGTTCTAAATATAGGGAAAATATTAAAAAAAAAAACATTATTCTTAACACATGTAAATAGTTACTAACCAAGTTCTTTAATAGCTTCTTCTTCTGTCATTTTTCGTCGATTATTTTTTAATTTATGCCGTGGAACAAGTTTTTCTTGATGTGTAGGTGATACTGACTCAGATTCTGCTGTTACTACTTGATGATTTTCTTTATTAATAACTGGATTTTTATTAATTGTAGGTATAATAGGATGAACAGGAGATCCAATCTTGCCTGCTGCAGCTATGACTCGAGTAGTTTTCGGTGGTAATTCAGGTGGTTGATCGGCTTGCTTACGAGATTTGCCATTGCTATTATTCATTACTGGTGTATCATCATTAACATAATTACGAACCGGAATAGGAGGTGGAACAATAGGATGAGTAGAAGTAGGTTTTGCCAATGATGATGTCGTTAGATTTTCACTACTTTGATTATTATCAAGTGGTTCATTAACAAGTGTATCACGATTGATTTGATAGACAATATTATTAATACCAACTTCTCGAAGTCGATTTGCAACAGGTGTTGTCGGACGAGAATTAGCTGACCTACTGGACTCTGGTGAATGATCTTCATCATCAGATCTTCCATTAGATACCTAACAGAAAGCTCATTATATTTTATTCGATATCAAGATATGTTATCAACACATACTTCTATACTCTGTTTACGACGTGTTGTAGCACGTTTAAGTTCTTCAAAAAAATTTGTAGACGGCTGAAAAGAAAAAGCATGATAAAACTTGAATATTTTCTTACTCATAGAAAAAAACAAAATAAAATATTCTTACATTTGTATTCACATGTGCAGATGAGAAACCAGGAGGATATTTTTTAGAACCAGGACGATTAGCTTTAAAAAACAAAAACAAATAATCCAACGTTTGTTTCTTTTTATTATTATTTATATTTACCAAAAGGATCTGTAGATGGTGATGAAAATGACCCATTACTATTTAATCTTTCTTGTGATGATCTAAGATCACTTTCGGTTTCACTTAATTCATCGCCTGATTCATATGATATTCCATCGGGATGAAATGTATCTTGAATACGCATATGCTTTGTTTGATTACCTAACATTAAATTTATTTTATAACGAAAAAACTTTTAAATTCCAACAAAAAAATCGAAATACTTACGACTTTCACGAATTGTTTGTTGAATAACTTTAAGTGCACAAGTCATAACTCGAGCTTTATCTTCAGGTTTGGAGTGACTAAATTATTCGTTGTCATGAAATATAAATGTTGATTAGATAACTACAACAAAATATTATCTTACGCAAATAAATTTTTCACTTGATCTTCCCACTCCTGTGGTAAACCGTGAAATGTATTCGTATTTGGATCATAAGAAACATGAATATTTTTTGTTACACTCATTGGTGTTGAGATTTCAGATATCTGATGTTGAGGTTTCTTTGGAAAAAAATTACGAAATAAACCAAAACTCATGTTTATACTAAAAATAAAAAATGATAGAAATTGTTTTTCAGTTGTTCTTTTGTTTTCATATAAATAAAAATTAACAAACCAAGTCGTTTTTTCATAATCTAAATCAGATGGCGATGATGATGATGATGATGATTGTAATGACATGGTGAATTATGACTTAAACTTGAATATCGAACCAAAAAAAAAGACCTGTACAGTTCTTATTTGTCTTGCACTCCTTGAGACAAGTAGAATAAAAAATGTAACGGTATTATGCAGAATGCCGATGTTTTTTTTTTTCTGTTCCCTATATCGATGATTTGCTTTAAATCAGAAAAAAAGAATAATCACCAATGAGTCATTTTCATCATCATCGTCATAATATGTGTAACAGAAAACAGAACAAAGAAAACAAATTGCGGAGGCGGTTATGGGAACCTACTTTAGTTTTGATGATTATAAAAGTCGGTTTCTTTTTTCTTATTCCCACATTAATCTTGTCGATCAATTTGTGATGCGATTGCCTTGAGCACGATCGATATACGTATATACAAATAAAAGGAAGTTTCGTCTCATTCTCTCTTTCATTTTTTTCTCTTTCGCGAAAAAATATTTTATTAACTTGTGAACGACTAAATAACGAGAAAAAATTGACAAGGAAAGAATGAAGAGATCTTATATTGTATCAAGGACAAACGATGTCTAGGTATGTAACAGATGTCAAATAGACAACTATCTTGTATCTCTTTCCCCTTTTTTTTCTTCAACAAATAAATTCACGCAAAATAGATCAATGATCATAATAAGACCTTGTTAGAACATGATGTAAGAATCAAACATACCTTATAGTTCTATTGTAGTAGACAAATAATAATACTGAATGAATGAAATAGGCTGCTGTAGTAGGTGGAGGGCATAATACTGAAAAAAAAGAATATATTTATATATACACATGTTGAGATGTAAAAGGAATCTTACGTAAGTAGTGAAAATGTTTATTAGTTGTAAATGTGTGAAACAAAAAGAGAAAGAAAAACAGAATTCACATGTAGAAAAAAAACGAACAAATACAATCCTTTTCTTTCTGACATATATCTATGAACAAAAATAGATATAAGCAAAAGAAAATGAATAAATAAATAAATAAGTAAATAAATAGTAAAGATGTTTATGCTAGAAAAATTTCCTATTGCTGTTTTTTTTTTATTTTTCTTCAAATATGATTCCTTAGCCTTTCAAGACAAATACAACAACAATAAAGTAGACACACCTACATAAATACGAGAAAAACAAAAAAAAGCTGAGAAATAATGAACAGATCTTTCTTCTTTTTTGTCTGAATATAATAACAACATTGAAAACTAAGAACAATAGAAAAGAAAAACCTTTCAGCGATTATATTTTGCTGATTTGAAGAATAATAATAAACTAGCTGTACAAAAAAAATGAGAAATAAAAACAACAAAAGAAAGTTGTACTTTGTTCTTTTGTATTTAATTTAAAGACGATTTTGTCGATGTTTTCGTTGAATATCAGCATCATTTGTATATGATGATGAAGCTTTACGTTTAACTGATAAAACTTGTGGTAATGGTGACTGTTCGATTTCTTCAATTTCTTCAATTTTTGGTGAATCATCAGTTAAATCTATTGTATCTGAACGATGAAATTGCGGTCGTTGAGATAAATTATTTATAT